CCCCCCTTTTTTTTTTTTTTTTTTAAAGAAATCTAATTTTTGATTTTTCGAGGGTGCACGGACAGATCGAAAGACGAAGATACGATTTTCCATTTCTTTCGACGCTCCAGACGAGAAAATTGCTTCCTCCTGCTCGAACGAGCGGAATTAAAAATACTCTGGCGCGAAGAAGCTGTACGATAGACTTTCTTACGATCGAGACCCGTCATCTTCCATCATCCTCGAATATTTCCCAAGTCCTTCCTCCCTCCGATCTTCCCTCCATTTCTTTCTTTTACGTTCCTCTTCCATCCAGTTCCACCTATTTCACCCTCGTGTCTCGAAGTTCCTTTTTCCTTCGCCCTCTTACGACTCTACTATTCTCATTTTTTTCGTTACAAATGAAAATATCGCGAATATTTCTTTGATGCTCTGACAAATCCAAAGTCTCTTTCCTATCAACACGAATTTTTGTTTCACACGCGGTGATACGATGGGTTATACTAAGGTGAAAAAGGAATTTTTCAAAAGGAGAATTTTTTAAATAGAACACGTGGTTCTGTTCATCGTTCGTCGATCGTATAGTGCGATTGGCCTGAGTGTTGTCGGGAAAGATCGTAATAATTCAGCGATCTTTGAAAATATTATCTCGAAACTCGTCGCATTAGTCTCGAAAGGGTTCAAGGGAGCCCTTGAAAAACGACGTTGTTCTGCTTTCTTTACGTATTTCTACGAGTTTGTAGATGCGCGAAAGTTGGATGAAAAGAGACGGAGAAATTTAGTAGCCGAGAAGAGACGAGGAAAGTAAACGTTCGACCGTTACACTTAATCGCGTTCGCCGGCGAAAACGAATCCTCCGGCGGTTTCCGTGTATTTTTAGCATTTTTCGCCTTTCATCCTGCGTGGAATCGCGACGACGATCGCTATCCGCGTGATTCCAGCAATTTTTCACTTCGTGCTTCGCTTTTAACGCTTTTCCCTTCCTTTATGGGGTTATTCTTGAAATAGAAATTCTTTCCGAGGTCGTTGTACCACGTAAAGTACGTGCGTGCTCGCTTGTCGTATTTACTTTATGATTTTTCATTTATCGCATTTTGAATCGACTAATTACAGGCTCGTTTCAATTTTCAATAACAGGTCGTGGTTAAATGGTTCATTAATGGTCGTTCAGGTCGTTAATCGACGTTCTCGTAGCACACACTCTGTCGTATATTATAATACAAGGATCGTGGATCGTTGTAAATATAAATAACTATAGCATGTAAATGATATACGCGTCTGGCAGTGTAGTATAACGTATAATATTAGATAAAATCTTTATAAAGCTATCAGAAAAATCCGCTCGTGCCATGTTACACGGGTAAATCGTGTACGAGCCAGCGCGATTATAAGTTCTCACCTAGTCGAACCAGCTGTCCTTGGGTAGTTCGATCGATCTCCAACATCAGGAGTATCCCAACGATAAGACATTTCACGATCGCCATCCCGACTGCTTCGACCATAACACGAATATCTAGTGGCGCGGCATCGATGACTTTCTGTAACAGAAAACACATTTGTTAATCCGCTGATCCATTTGTTAATCCGGTTCATCGATCTTTGAACGTTTCGAGTTGTTTCGAGTAGTTTCATTTGTTTTACAACGTAAGAAAGATATTTTCTTCCTTAAAAAATGAAATCTTATTTGATGACAAGTTTCTTCGATGATGACAAGTCATTCAAATACTTGAAAACGATACTGTCTCGAGTGTCGAACGTCAAATTTCTATTTTTTTTTTATTTATTTATTAGAATTACAATCAATTCTCGCGTTGAGAATTTTCAGTAATTTTTCTGGCGTGGCTCAGTGACATGGCTGATTATTTATAATAAGTTAATACTTAGATAAGTATAATTTATAAGTATTATATAAATAAGTGAATATTACTTAATTTAGATAACTAAAAATTTCTATGAAGATCAAATTTTTATTTCAAAATCAATCATTGTGGTTATTTTGGTAGTTTTGGTATTAATTAGGATTTCCATTTTTTTAATCGAAAATTAGGATTTTTATTTTTTAATCGCTGTATAGGGAAAGAATACAATAAACAAATCATACTTTCCATTATTTGCGACAGAGCAGTTTTAGAATTCAATAGCCATCGATTAAACTTACATTGTGAAAATTCTCCTGTTCCAACAATTTCATACTATAAAAAGTATTCGCGTGATATTGCATTTGCATGATAATTGAGTCCAAGTATATCAAAGTTGGTATCATTTGTCGATAATTTCCCTAGAAAAGTTTGATACGAAAGAAAGATACACTGTATCAAGGATTAAGCGTACACGTAAATACTTTTCGTGGGCATCGTAACATGCAACAATTTCCACTCCAAACCTCCCGAAGCTCTGCCCAAATTCCTAGCGCCTCTTATCTAACAACAAACTCCTAATGGCCGGCAATTAATTAGCTGCTATCAAACTACAAACTCCTAATGCCCAGCACAAACAAACAACCACTGTTCCGAACAGAACGAAACCTGCGGACGAAACCTGCGGACGAAACCTGCGCATCGAACAGCAGAGGAAAAGAAAACTGCGAAAAGCAAAAGCAAAACGAAGAACACCGTAGCGCCTACACACTCGCCAAATCCTTCGAAAACGATCGACAAAAATCGTTGGGCAACCTGGTTCTTTAATAAATAGAGGTGTTTAAAAGTAACCATCGGACCGGTTTACAAGGGGTCCCATAAAGTAACATCACGGAATCGCGTCTTTCCATTTTCGTTTTCTTTTCTTTCTTCTATTCTTTTTCCCTTCTCGGCAAAGCGGCGCGTGTGGCGAATCGTCATAAATCCGATCGAAAACGACGGGACGCTTTATGGAGTACTATCGGGATGCACGGTGTCTTTCCCATAAAGTATAATAGACTGTACTATCGCCAGCGCCGGGCTAGAAAAGGAACACATGGCCGTGTCAGAGGATTTCGAACGCCAGAACACGTCCGGCGTGCATCCTTGCACTCGACCCCATAGATCAACCACGTTGCACCAACTCGCTCTTCGGCCGCAACCTCACCGGATCTGTTGCTCGTAGTTTCTTCAGATTAGGCTCGGGGGAACGTGTAATAGAGAACTTGGTTTCTAGAGAACGTGAGCTACGTTTCTGAGAAGCTTGGTTTTTAATTGAATTTTTAAACGATGAGGCGACGTAGCTGAATATATTTCAGACGAAACAGGATCCTCTTTTTAGAACCGCGTCCATCTACATTTTCACTTGTTCTATATGTACTTCTATGCACACGATGAAATAAATACGATAGAAGAATTGTGGCTGTACGTTGAATGATATATACGTGTAAATAAATGAAATAAAGGATAGAGATAAAGAGCAAAAAAGAATATGTGAAACAGTGGAAGGGTTGTACATTGAACGATTTGTATGTATAATAAAACAGAAGGATTTTGTCTATACTTTGAATATTCTGTATATATAATAAAACAGTAGAAGGATTGTGTCCTTAGACTGAATAATTTATATATAGATTATTCTATAGTATATAGAGCAATACATATAGAATATCTATAATCTATAATAAAATAATCTATTAAATAGAATAGAATAATCTACAGACTATGGAAGATCTATATACATATAGTATAATAACAATCTATTATATTATTGTTTACTATTTGTACAGTATAGAATAATCTATAGACTATAAAAGATCTATATATTATATGTATCTACTAGATGATCTGTATACTATATGTATATAGATCTTTTATAGTCTATAGATTATTCTACACTATACAAATAGTAAACAATAGTATAACAGATTACTGTTATAGATAATAAAGTAGTAGAAAGATTGTGTCTATACATTGAACATTCTACATATACATATAATAAAATGATACAAGAGCTGTGTCTATACATTGAACATTCTACATATACATATAATAAAATAATACAAGAGCTGTGTCTATACATTGAATAGTCTACATAGATATAATAAAACAGTAGAAGAGCTGCATCTATACATCGAATAGTCCATATACGTATGATATAAAATAGTAGAAGGGTTGTGTCTGTGTATCGAATAAAATAAAAAAAGAAAAAAAATAAAACAGCGATGCTGGAACAGCTTATAAGCTATGAAGTTGAAAAAGCTAATCTTTAGAACTTTTGCCTGTCTGTTTGTACTCGCATCACGTAAAAGCTACTCAATAGATCTTGATGGGATTTTCTCTGTTGTGTAGCTTAGTGCCCGGCAAAGAAAATGGGGTATGTATCATCTCGATTCGTTTCGTAGAAGCTGAGAAATAGCCCGGCATCTGAGCTGTACGCGCTGGCATGCTTGGTAGAGGTCAAGCAACACGATGGTTATTGTTCATCGATCGTGTTTGTTCTGAAATCGAACCCTCTTACAAATCAATATCTTTCATCACGAAAAATCAGCTGGGAATTTTAATCGTAAAAATTCATCTGCTCAGAAACTCTTCCGTGTATTAGTAGTCGACTAGTAGTGGAAGTCGCGGACAAAAGCTAATTTCTAATACAATCCATAAATATTTTATAATTATACAAGGTGAACCGCTTCGGTGGTGGATTCTGCACATGAAACCGTGTTTTATACAGAAATTTATTTTATATAGAAACAATTCGTTCGAATAATCGGAATAGTTAATTACACCTATCTATTTACAAAGGCAACTCGATAGTCAACGAACAATACCTGGTGAAACGTAGAGAATATGAGAGTCAATGATAAAAGAGATAAAAGCGACGAACACCAGTTTTGTTTTCTGTTCGGTTGTAAGCACGTCATTTTGAACATCCCTTGAACCTGCGTGTATGCAGATGTAATGTAAATTCTTTGCCTAAGAAGAAGCTCGCTATAACTGGAAAACAAGATCAAATAAGACGTATATTTATATAAACCTTTCTTATGGTTCTCGTGTGCAGAATCCAGCGACCAAGCGGTTGCCCGATGTTACGCACACACTATGCTTTATAGCTAGTCATCTATGATAGCAATGAAACACGATGAGATGAATATGAAATAAATACATATTTAACATAATATATGTGCGTGTGCTTAACAACTAAAATACTATGCAAAACATATGCCATATGCAAATATATTAAAATATGTCCTTGCATAAACATCTGCAGTGCAGCGATAAATATTTTTGAATTTTTCCGAATAAACGTTCGAACAGCGTGCTTCGGCTCTCTTTTCTTACGTAACATAAATTCTATCTTTATTTCTCAGCTAGTAGCGCGATATTTTGGAAACTCTTTCTATTAGAACGAGAAAATATTCCAAGACTTACCACAGATTCTTTTCTACCAATACATCACGAGCGTTGTATCCAAATTTTTGTGAAATTTCACGAGCTCTGTAACGAGACACGAGTATCGTCCTTACAATAATAAAACTTGAAACCAATTCGGAAATGTACACAGAAGTTGCAAGTACATTTATCGCGAACGTACGATCAGCCCTAAAAGTACAATCAATATGAAACACGTTCTACCAGAAAATATCGTGGATGGACTTCGATGTACTGTATATTCTCAGATCAAAAAGATCTTCCCAATAGCGACAATTGTTTTCTATAACGCGTAAAGAGTTTCTAAAATGTCCGAACACTTTCGTAAGCCACTGTATATCGCGAAAAGTACAGACAATTCGTAATAATTCAACCTGGCTTCTGATTTCGTCCTAGAAACCACGACCATAAAGCACAATCGCAACAAGTGGTCCGTCATTGTACGCCAAATGTAAACGACCAACGAAATACCAAACAAATCAGTCAGCGAATATTCTAAGTTGATTGAGAATTATTCGAAGATTCAAACATATGTCGTCGAGTGAGAAAAATCATGTTGCTCGTTTAGTAGACATATTATAAAGACTGGTCATCCTAGGGTTCGCAAGAGTTGCATTAACGACATCCGGAAACGCATAAACCACCATTTTCAAGCGTTAAATTCCGAAAGCAGATTTACTCGCGCTACCCATTGCTTCGTGCTCGTTAGGCGAAAAGACACATTGTATGTAACGCGTTCAGAGCGTCTATTCCTGAGAGTTGAACCGTTCACCGCCAAGTATTTATACTTACACGTTGCAAATTGCGCGCGATGAACTGCACCTCGCCAGGCTACACGTTAGGCTACGTTCTGACACGAACCGTATAATAAAGTTCTATGTGCTATTGTTTCGTCGGTGGTTCGTATTCTAATTTACATGGCAGGTGTAATATAATTTTGGACGGTTTAGAGAAATACGCGATGCGTTCCGCAGTTACCTTATCGCTATCGCACATGCGATTCCACTTTGTGCAAGTTTTATAGCTTTATTATGCGGCTGTTGTGTATCATCAATGTTGAATTTTGATAAAAGAAAAAAAAAAAAAGAAAAAGAAATGGCTCAGTTCCATAAGTTTATGAAAATAGTAAAGCGTCAGTAATAATAATAATGATGATGATAATAATAATAAGACGTTCAAAGAAGAAATTACTTGGCCTCGTAAGTTTATCGTGG